GAGCCTGCTTGAGATTCTGCTCATGGGATCTGGAGCCCTGCTACACATTATTTAAAAGCCAAAGGCACTTTTCAATAAGAACCCTGTTTCTATAATAAATATACTAAAAAGCAATATCCATTGTATAAAATATCAGCAGTTTTTACATATAACATCAACTACCAACTTGGAAATATCAGAGGGAAAAAACCATTCTATTAACTATGACACCCAGAACTATGTATTACCAAGTATCTTGCTGATGAAAGACTAATAGGAGGAAAACTTCACTGAGAGACAAAGAGAAGATGATTAAATGGGGAGGCATGCTCATTTATAGCTTAGAAATCGATATGGAAAAGATACAGATTATCCCCAAACCAGTCAATCTATAACATAATGTAAATTCCAGACAGATGATTCTTTGTCAGTACCTGACCGAATTATTCTCATAAGAAAAATACTGAATTTCAAAGACTGATTATGTTTTAAAAGTCATAAATGTGTCATATAAAATGTTCAGAAGTAAATACCATTAATAGTTTGGAACATACACCCAGACCTGCATACAACACGCATGTGCACACACGGAGATACCTGGGCAGGGCACGGCTCTCTGCGTGTACTGGTCAAAGTGTGGGAGAGGTTTATAACAGATCATGAGCGCATATTATTAAATTTTTAGGAGTTTTGTGCATTGGTTGATATGCACAGGTATTATTGTAAAAATAAACTATTTTAAAAACACATGTAAATCCAGGGCTGATTCATGTCAATGTATGGCAAAAACCACTACAATATTGTAAAGTAATTAGCCTCCAACTAATAAAAATAAATGGAAAAAAAAAGTAATACATTCTTAAATATACTCATTGCTTCCTAGTTATTTTTACTACATTTTGCCGGCATGTTTGCTCTGGAGGTCATCTACGGCTCATGCATGTGGGTGATGCGCATATCTCTGTGCTGCGCTGAGTCACTCAGTCGTGTCCGACTCTTTGCGACCCCATGGACTGTGGCCCTCCAGACCCCTCTGCCCGTAGAATCCCGGAGTATAGTTGCCAAGCTCTCCTCCAGGGGATCTTCCCCACCCAGGAATCAAACGGGGGTCTCTGGCATTGTAGGCTTATTCTTTACCAGCTGAGCTACCAGGGAAGCCCCTGGCGCTGTGGACCTCTCTCCAAACCTGTCACCAGAGGCATCATGTTGGTAGCTTGAAACTGACCATGGTGAGACTGTTTATTCTGGGGTCTTGACTTCTTTTCAGATTGCTGATGGTTAAACATTTAACAGCACACCACCAGATTAAATTTATGTTGGTGGAAGTGATGTATATTTCGTCCATGGGCCCCAGTGACGGCTTTTGGTTTTATACATGTGTCGATGTATACAACTCCCTGCCTGGATGTAAAGTAACTGGGGATGAGGAATACAGCTGACCTCCCAATCAGTACTAGATCAAGTTAAAAGGGTTTCCTGTGGCAAAGTATTTAAGTAAGTTGTCAACCTAAAACATATCATAAATTTTTCTTTTATAAACAGACAATGCTCTAAATCTGCTGACCTTTTCCATGATGAAAGTGGTGTCAGTAAAATGTACCTAAAAGATACTTGGGAAAAATAAATACACTTGTCATTTGGAGGCAAAGGTTATGTTGTAACAAAGTGTGAGCCAGTGACAGCTTTTCAAAAATAAACCCCCGCTTTGGAGAGCATGAGTTTATATTGAAATTGATAGCAGAAATTTCTCTAGAGTTATGTGATTTTGAGGCTGAAAATTATGTAAGTGGGCCACTTATAAAAACTCACATATCTGCTTACTTTCAAAACTTGGAAACGGGATATTCTAACTTATACACCAACTGACTTTTTCATACTAGGAAGAGGTAAAACCTTTCAACTATTTTGTAGGAACAAGTGCATAACTTCAGGAAAAGTGGAAACTGTCAGCTGAATTTTAACAAATACCTTTGTATAATTGGTGGATGGCTATCGCTATTTATTAGGCATGGTCCATAAAGCACTTATTTCTTTTGGTGTCTATGCTGGTGAAGCTCCTTTTCAGTTATTTCAAAACCAAGAACTAGAATAACCTGAATTTAGAACCAGAACTTCAAATGGCTACACTACGAAGTGTTACACCAAGATGTCAAAAAAAAAAAAAAAAAATCAAGCATATTTAATCTTTGCTAAAACACATTTTTTAAGTGAGAACAAAAATATGCTGTGTCCTAATTATCAAAGTGAAAATGCTTTTAAAATGTTGTTTATCTGATATTTGTATTTCCTTTTAAAATTCCCAAGGGTGGTACCGAGGCCAGCACCAGCATCACCTGGACCTCTCAGGCCCCACCCTCAGCCCGGCCTCACTGCTTTGAGTTAAATCCAGGGATCACCCACACCTGTGAATTCTGCAGAACCAGTATCAAGGGATGACGAAGATATTTTGTCTTAGGTAGTTGTGTGGGTAAGGGGATTAGGAGTGGTCTGCTCCTCGTTGGAGATTTTCAAGACTAGAATAATTCCTGACATTTTGAAGTAAATTTATATTAAAACAGATTTTTTGGAGTAAATAGATCCCCTACTTGGTGTAAATCCTAACTCCAATTTTACACTAGTTCCAAATTATAAAGGCGTCTAATAAAACTGGCTGATAGAACATGTACTATGTGCCAGGCTTGAGCTCCAAAATCACTATCTTCGGCTCCAAAATCCCTGCAGGTGGTGACTGCAGCCATGAAATTAAAAGACACTTACTCCTTGGAAGGAAAGTTATGACCAACCTAGACAGCACATTAAAAAGCAGAGACATTACTTTGCCAACAAAGGTCCGTTTAGTCAAGGCTATGGTTTTTCCAGTGGTCATGTATGGATGTGAGAGTTGGACTATAAAGAAAGCTGAGTGCTGAAGAATTGATGCTTTTGAACTGTGGTGTTGGAGAAGACTCTTGAGAGTCCCTTGGACTGCAAGGAGATCCAACCACTCCATCCTAAAGGAAATCAGTGCTGAATATTCATTGGAAGGACTGATGCTGAAGCTGAAACTCCAATACTTTGGCCACCTGATGCGAAGAACTGACTCACTGGAAAAGACCCTGATGCTAGGAAAGATTAAAGGCAAGGGGAGAAGGGGACGACAGAGATGAGATGGTTGGCTGACATCATTGACTCAATGGACATGAGTTTGAGCAAACTCAGGGAGATAATGAAGGACAGGGAAGCCTGGAGTGCTGCCATCCATGGGGTTGCAAAGAGTCAGACAGGACATAGGGAATGAACAGTAACATACACACTCATGTTCACACATACAATGAGCTTTGAAATTCACAACTCTTACATAGATGCAGTCATATTTACAAACAGTCAATGCCCACACACATATTCCCATGTGCACACCCACATTTATATGCACACACTTACATTCAAGATCATATGCTCACACATCCTCATTCATGCACACACATTCACACTATGTGACTTACACCCCCACACATATTATGCCCCCACATTTAGACACACACACACACTTTATCTCAGCTCTCTGAGGAGAACCAGAATGGGATACATTAGAATTTTTTCCCTTAATTTTCCTGTGTGGGCTGGAAAGGGACCTTATCATTATTATCTTATCTATTATTTCTCTTGCATTTATTTGTGTTTTTCTTCAAAAGGTCTTCAGGGCTTTTCACCACAAAATAAAAATTTTAAAGTCATATTAATAGTACACATAGGCATGCTGCACATAAAATTTGCTTAAACATAACAGAGATTCTTGCTAAGCTTGAGAATGAGTGACTGAACTGATCTGATATGCCAAGCATTGTCCTAAGTTCTCCCGAATTAATTCATTTAATCTTCCCCACAGCCCTACAAGGTGGATCTGCCGTTATCCTCAGTTTACAGATGAGGATGCTGAGGTCCAGAGACCTTATGTGACCAAAGGGTGCTAAGTGGCTTCAGTTGTGTCTGACTCTGTGCGACCCTATGAACTGTAATCCGCCAGGCTCCTCTGTCCATAGGATTCTCCAGGCAAGAATACTGGAGTGGGTTGCTGTGCCCTCCTCCAGGGCATCTTCCTGACCCAGAGATCGAGCCTGCATCTCTTATATCTCCTGCATTAGCAGGAGGGTTCTTCACAACCTGTGTGACCTGGTCATCTGCTAATAAGCAGCAAGACCAGAACTTGGACTTTGTTTGGCTCCAGACCCCATGCTCTTAACTATTACACTGCATTGCTTGGGCATAGGGCTTCCCAGGTGGTGCTAAATGCAGGAGATGTAAAAGACATGGGTTCGATCCCTGGGTTAGGAAGATCCCCTGGAGGAGGGCATGGCAACCCACTCCAGTATTTTGTCTGGAGAATCCCATGGACAGAGGAGCCTGGTGGGCTACAGTCCATGGGATCACAAAGAGTCGGACATGACTGAAGTGACTTAGCACACATACTTGAGCATAAGATGTATAAATGAGTTACTATCTGTTTGTTGGGGATGCACACTCAAATTTTCTTTTTTTTATATTGTAGTGGTTTTTGTCATACATTGACATGAATCAGCCATGTATTTTAATGGGAAACATGGTTGAAAAAGTCTGGAGGCCAATTAGCCCAGGGAATATGAACTCAGATGCTAGTGTGACCTGGAAAACTTTTCATGATCCAGCCCCAGTCAGTCTCTCAGACCCACCTCCTGCTCTCCTTCCTTGCAACATGTGCTTTGAATTCTACCATCTTGAACCTGATCCCGGCCGCTTCCTGAATGCCTCCTCCCCTCTCTTCCTCCCCTCTCCTCCTCAGTCTTTGGAACTTGGCGCAGGCCACTTCCTTCCCTTTCCTCTCTGCTCCTTCCCCATGCAAAGGTCTTTTGCATGCCAGCATTTTCTGCACACTTCTCCAGGACCTCTGTCCCACTGTTTCGTAGTCACCCATTCACTTGTTTGTCAAGCACCTAGGAGATGGTGCTCTATTATATTTATTTGTGTATGTCAGGCGCTGGTGTGGAGCCTGGCACGCACAGGGGTGAATGCATGACGGAGGAAAGGGAAATCCACCAGGGCCCTCGGAGCCGCCCTGTGACCTGTTATGTGCGTAACAGCCACCAGAGGGGGCAGACGGACACGGTCCAGTGAACCGCACCGTCTGGAGGAATTCAGGCTGAGAATTCAAAGAACTACTCTAGTGCCAAAAGGGAAGTTCCCTGAGCACACGGGCCATTCCTCTGTTTAAGACAAGAACAAACAAACCCTTCCTGGTAAGCACAGTGATAAAATCTGTGCTCTGTTTTAATTTTTTTTGAATCTGGACAATCTTCAAATTAGAAAGCTTGGGTTCTAGTTCCAACTCTAACATCCGTTTAGCTTGTTGGATCCCAGACAAGACCCTTGGGTTCTGGGGCTTTAGTTTCTTGATCTGGAAAACGGGAGGCGTACTCATTTTTCCTACCTCCCTAGGATATTGTGAGGTCCACAAGCAATAAACCAGTTTAATAATGAACATCTTAAAAATGACGAGGCCAATATGTGAGGTGTAACCAGAATCAAGGGGTGAGAGGAAAATAAGTCCAACAACCCTTGTTCAAAATTAGCTATGTGGGTTGAAAACCAAAGTATCCATGTGGGTCAATCAGCAGAGTCCTGCCTAGGAAGCACAGACATCTGGAGATTTCAGGTTGGGGGTTGTTAAGACCTTCTCATTCACTTGTCTCCCACTTGACCATCCCAGCCTTATTGCCAGGGACCCCCTAGTCCATCTGCATCTAATGTCATGGATAATCCCTGTATTTCATCATACTTGTTCATATTTTAGAAAAAATTTTGCAAATATGCACAGATATCATTGCAATAAATAAAACAAAAATCATATAACAGCTTTCCTTAGCTTCTAGTCGCAGGGTATGTTTAAAATTAGCAAATAATTCAAAATACACTTAGAATTGCAAAACGTGCCTATGGAACCTATGCAAATTTGACAACAGGGTCTGAGCAAACTCAGAAACGGCCAATCCAAACCCAGAACCATTTAACAGTGTTCGCTACTTGGTTACCCTGATTCCTCTGAATGAGCGGATTGGATGCCTGGGCTGAGCAGGGATGGGTAGATGTGACTGCTGCCTCTCGGGGGTCTCTGATCTCACAAATGCCTCTCAAAATAAGTGTCTCTCTGCGTTCATGAGTAATTTAAGAGAATTTAAAGGGGACTCTTGTATGCGCAATGGTCTCACTTTATATTTCATCTTTAGAATCCAGCTCACCAGTTGTAGTACGTGGAGGTTTGGGAACATTTGGGGCACAAATTTAAGCCTCAGTTGAATCAGGTGATGGAGCCCAGGACCCCCCGAGGCCCCGAGTGGCACCCAGAGACCACAGCAGAACCAGGCCCTCACCCCGAGGCCAGTGCCCGTGCAGCCCGCGGCGGCGCGTGTCGGCGGGCCCTTCCCTCCGGGGGGCCTCGGGCGTCCACGAGCTCCGGCGCTGCGCGTGTGTGCAGCGCACGCTCCCAAGCCCGGAGTCCACCCCCGCGGCCCCTTTCTCGAGGCGCCCCCTGCCCCTGGAGCCGCAGGGCCGGGCACGCCTTCCTGCTGCCCGCCCGCCTCATTCTGTCTCAGCAGCCCTGACCGTGGAGGCAGGCCTCAGGCGGGAAGAGACGCTGCAGGCGGTTTCCAGCGTCCCTCCAGGCGACCAGGGGCGCGTGAGGACCCTCCCGGGGGCCGGGCGGCCTTCAGAAGGCCTGCGGGCCCTGCTTTCCGCTCCTCCCTTCCTTCCTCGGAAGCGCCGCGGCCGGATGCGCGGGCCGCCGCAGCGGCCCCGCGCCCTCTCACCGGGCTGCCGAGCGGCCTTTTCCTCTGGGTGCGGCTTCTGCTGCTCGGGGCGCGGGGGAGCGTCAGCGCCCCGGGTGCTTGGGAGCAGCCAGCAGCCGCCGGCAGGCCTGGGGGTGAGGAGGAGGCCTGAGGGGACGGCCGCTTCGCGCTCACTCGCGCACACCCTCTAAACCGAGCTCGGCGCTCGGTCCTGCTGCAAACGGCTGGCCGTCTCTCCTCCCCGGGGGGCGGGCGTGAAGAGACCCCTTCAGGGAGGGGCAGAGTCAACGCTGAGGTTCTAGAACCAGCGACTCCACAAGCCACAACGGAGACGGTGGGGATTGGGACTATCAGGCCTCCAAAGGCTTCCGGACCATCTCGAAGAAGACGTCGAAATGGGTGGAAGGTGCCTCTGGCTCCCATGCTGGGTGGCCGGAGCCTCTGCAGGTAAGATTTAGTTATATCTCAAGGAGAAGTTGGAGAAGGCAATGGCACCCCACTCCAGTACTCTTACCTGGAAAATCCCACGGATGGAGGAGCCTTGTAGGCTGCAGTCCATGGGGTCGCTAACAGTCGGGCACGACTGAGCGACTTCACTTTCACTTTTCACTTCCATGCATTGGAGAAGGAAATGGCAACCCACTCCAGTGTTCTTGCCTGGAGAATCCCAGGGGCGGCGGAGCCTGGTAGGCTACAGTCCAAGGGGTTGCAAAGAGTCGGACACGACTGAGCGACTTCTCTTTCACTTTCACCTCCACTATTTGTTACCTCTGCACCCTTCCCCCAGACTCCTTCACATCCATCCTTCCTAATCTGGTTTCCAAGACTTCCAGAAGACTCTCTGGATGGGTCCTGAATCCTCTCTTGAGCTTTAACTGGGAAAGGTGGAGGGTGGGGTGAGAGAAGCGGCCTAGGGAGCAGTCAGGGAACCTTGATCCCAAGACCCCTCTCACTTTCCTCTTCTCAGTCATCCTCTGATCCTGTCCTCCACAATTAGCCATGCTTTCTGAACCAAAACCAGGACATGAGGTCTGACAAGTGTACTTATGGGGAAAACGGGACGTTCTGTCCTTGAGACTGGAATTGGGAATCCTGGTCTCAGGTCACGCACTACGCCCTAAACCACAAAATCAGGCGCATACTTCTTGGCTTCACTAGACTTTGTCAGTGAGGCAAAGATTTCATGTACAGGTGGATTCACGTGTAGAAGAGGCCACGTCACCATGGCTTAGGGACACCCAATAGTGTGAGTTGTTTTATGACGTTCAGCAGTGCTTGGCGCACTGCTTTCGATAATATCCCCACCACCCCAAAGATATTAAGAGGGACGACTGACCCTTGAACAACATGGGGACTAACCCACATAGATTTTACAGTCTTCCCCTTGTATCCACAGTCCCTCCATATCCGTGGGTTCGGCTAACCTCAGATCATAGTACTGAGTATTTACTATTGAGAAAAAACCCTGTTCCACATGCATTTTACTTAAACATTTATTGCATTATATGAATTCTGTCTGAGATACAGTATTCTCTTTTAGATCTTAGGCATTTCAGAAACCACTGAAAAGCTTTTGACCTCAGATGCTCTGTCTATAGGATCCAGTGGCTAAAATGCCACGGACATTGGATGTTTTAGAGGTCCAGACTCAGAGAAACATGCATACAGCTTTGCCAGATCATCTGCAAATCTGGATGTCTTGATAAATGTTACTTTAAAATGTATGTTTGCGGTAGTGAGAGGCAGATGGTGGGCCAGTGAAGTAGGGAAGGTCTTAGAAAGTTTCCAGAAATTTCTTGAGTCATCTTGACTGTCGTTGGGTATGAATGGAAAGTATGTATTTAATTTTTCTTGTTATTGTTCAGTCACCAAGTTGTGTCCGACTCTTTGTGACCCCACAGAAAGCAGCACGCTAGGCTTCCTTGACCTTCAGCATCTCCTGGAATTTCCTCAAATTCATGTCCATTGACTCAGTGATGCCATCCAACCATCTCATCCTCTGCCACCCTCTTCTCCTTTTGCCTTCAATCTTCCCCAGCATCAGGGTCTTTTCAGATGAGTCAGTTCTTCCCATCAGGTGGCCAAAGTATCAGAGTTTCAGCTTCAACATCAGTCCTTCCAATGAATATTCAACTGATTTCCTTTAGGATGGACTGGTTGGATCTCCTTGCAGTCCAAGGGACTCTCAAGAGTCTTCTCCAGCACCATACTGTTAATTACAAGGGAGCAAAATGTCCTTGGCTTCCTAGGTAGTGCTAGTGGTAAAGAACCTGCCTGCCAATGCAGGAGAAGTTAAGAGAGGTGAGTCTGATCCCTGGGTTGGGAAGATCCCGTGGAGAAGGGAATGGCAACCCACTGCAGTATTCTTGCCTGGAGAATCCCATGGACAGAGGAGCCTGGCAGGCTTGAGTCCATAGCGTTGCAAAGAGTTAGCCATGATTGAAGCAACTCGGCAGCAAAAAGCCCTTAACTTTGCTGTTTTAGCGTTAGTCACTCAGTCATGTCCAACTCTTCGTAGACCTGTGGACTCTGGTCCGCCTCTGTCCATGAAATTGTTCAGGCAGGAACACTGGAGTGGGTAGCCATTCACTGCTCTGGGGTATCTTCCCTACCCTGGGATGGAACCTGGATCTCTTGTACTGCAGACAGATTCTTTATCTTTTGAGTCACCAAGGAAGCCCCTTTAGGGAACTTAAGTATTTGTCGGTGCAGAGGATTTCTGTGGCTTTGGGCCACCTTGCCATTCCTCACCACAAAGTCATCTACCATGAAGGTTTTCGGGTGCTTTCAATTTATGAGGAATGAAGAGGGATACCCACCTGAGCAAATACTTGGCACTGATGGTGTGTCAGACTGTGTTCCAGGTTCCAGGGAGTCTGCTAATGGTGGATAAAAACCCGCAAGATTCCTGACCACGTGGAACTTCCACTTGAGTGAGGGCTAATAAATAATAAAAACATATAAGTGAGCAAGGTAATTTCAGATGGCGTAAGTGCTAGGAAGTCAAGAATCTGACGATATGCCTGAGAGAGATAGGGGAGAAGGGTCTGAAGCTACTCCAGGTTGCATGGTCCAGAAAAACTTCTTGGAAGAAGTGACTGAGGCTTGAAAGCTCCAATGAGCCTGGTGGGGAAGGTCTTGGGGCAGAATCTTCTAGTCATAGGGATAGGTTGATGCAGAGGCCCTTCTCTGCACTTTGGTAAATTTCAGGAATTCAAAGAAGGCCAGTGAGGCTGGAGCGTGGAGGACAGAGGGACATCCCTGGGCATTCGTCCTCAGGCCAGGTGCAGAGGAAGCTGTAACAGGTCCACGGTTCGGGCCAGCGATGCCTCTGGTGTCCTGAACACCTTGTTCCCCGGGACTGGGCGCCCATTTCTTTCTGTCCCATTGACCCCACCCTCGTGACTCAGCTGCTCTTTCCCCCTGCTGCTCTCTCTGTTCATTTCTGCATGTCTGTTTCCACTTGAGCATGTTGGGGAGTCACCCTCAATGAGACGTGATTCTGGTGGATGGGGTGTCAGGAGAGGCCTCTCATTGCCCGCTGTCTCCTCTGGTCCAGCTTCTCTGGCCTGGACTCTGGATCCATCCACTGCAACCAAGTTGTCACCACCCAGAGCTTGGCAACGTACATTGAAGGAAACTGTAGGCTACGGCCATACCACCCTGAACGTGCCCAGTCTCATCTGCAGGATGCGGTCACGACTCCTTCCCTCAGGGTCAGACTGTGCTCTGGGCCAGATTTAAAGAGACCAACGGCCTTTTTATAGGGAGGATATTTACAACCATGTCCCCAAAAACAAGCCTAAAAGCTGGTTTGTTTTTAACAAAGGGATCCATAACAAGGGTTTACTGCTTTAGCTACTCACTGATCCTAGCCCAGGAGAGCCTGCCCATCACCACCCTGATCTCAGCACTTCTGAATCAGCCGTCCACACAGCCTGTAAGGACAGGCTTCCTCCTGTTTCTGCTCAAGATGGCCCCGAGTCTCTCTCCCTTCCCATGTGCTCTTATACAACAGATCCCACCGTTTCTCTATCGAGAACTAGAGTCTATTTCCTCTCCCCTTAAATCTGTACCAGCTTTGTGAGCAGCTGTAACCAAGGAACGTAGCGGAAGCTGTGTAAGAGAAGAGCGTCTTTCGTCTTCACCTGTTGGAACATCCCCCCTTGGGCGCCAGCTGCCATTGTAAGGAAGCCCGATTATCCGTGAGAAGAACCCCAACAGAGAAGTATGGAGTCTCCCACTAACAGCCCCTACTGAGATCCCAGTTGGCACTGAGTGCCGACTGCCAGTCTCATGCAGGAAGCCACGGAGGACCTTCTCACCACCCAACACCCCAGCCAGTACCTGCGAGGCATTTGAGTACCCAGTCAATCCGCAGCATTGTGAGAGACAGTGAACCGTTTTGTTCTATGTCCCCATGTTTTCTGGTGGTTTTTTGCAGAACAGCTCCTGAGCTTCTATAGCATCCAGGATCTGGGTATAAGGGGGTTGGATGAGGACAGAAAATAGGTTATATCCCGTTGCATCACATGTGGCCTTATGGAACTTCAGAATCGGGTACAGGTAGCCAGGCCTGGGAAAGTGAAAAGCAAAATTTTCACTTTACTTGATCATTGCTTGTTTTGAAGAATCATTAGAACAGAACTCCTTTATATCATAATGACAAGAAGCCCAGGCCACTCTTGCCTGGGACCTTGCCTACGTGGTGTTGGCGGTTTGGGGAGAGGATGCAGGCACAGCCTGGAAGGCAGAGGGGAGGACTCAGCGTGATGGGCAGTACTGAGCCTGACATTTATCTGAGGGCTAGAATGTGATACTGTCGTTTGCTGTAGAATTACAGAAGTTCACATGGATATTATTGTATTATTCAGATACTAATTCTTAAATGATGAAATGAGAAAGCTCTGTTTTTTTTAAATTGGAGTGTGGTTGCTTTACAACATCATGCTAGTTTCCACTTTACAGCAAAGTGAATCAGCTACATGTATACATATAGTTCCTGAAATGAGAAATCTCATTTGCTTTTCCTTTCTCTTCACTTTCTTCTTCTTCTTTTTTTTTAGGAGAAGCAGCAAGAAAGATATCCAACCTATTCTTGAGCTCCAGCCTAACATTTGGTTATTTGTTCTTTATCCAAAGTCAATATTTTGGAAGAAGTTTGAACCAAATCATTCATGCATTCTCAGGT